AAGAGAAGAAGAAGAAGAAAACCAGCAAGCAAGAAAGCGGCTTTGTGTGTAGAATTTTACAACAAAAGGACAAACAAAACGGTCGCACGACACGATTCACCGGATGTGTGTAGAACTCAAACCTCCATCCTGACCGTAGCCTGCCTGGCCCCGACCGTCCTTGGTAACCGTCTCATGTTTGGTTTGTCCTTGCCGCGCACCATTGTCATCGACTTGTATCCGACTTGGTGGTTGTGGTGATGTAGCGATGGGTGACAACCTATACAGCTCCTCCGTGTTCCGTCTCCTGACAGAAAGGTGATATCCAGGTACCGTGTCAGAACCCACCTGTGCCCCTGATCGTCCTTCCAAAATCCTGAGAGATCCGGTCTTTGGTTGGACCAGTGTCATGCCGCGAGAGCAAGGAGCAAGGGATCGGCAGGCGGCGGCGGCGTCGCAGGACGAGGCACAGGAGAGCGACTCGACAGAGGAAGAAGCGACAAGTCACAAGAGAGGGAACGACGAGAATGGGACGACCGCGAGGTGGCATGAAGGTTGCAGCGAGAATCGGCGAGGGAGGAGGGACTGCGAAGAGAGATAGAAAGAGGCAGACTACGCCCGAGGGTGGGCAACGGCTAGCACCACACTCCTCTCCTTAAAATCCCTGTTGTGGTGGCGGCGTGCCGTCCTCCCATCCCTCCCTTGGGTGTCTGTTTTCTTTCTTTCTTCGATGTCTGTAGTCTGACAACTAGACAGACAACAACCGACTCTGTGTCACGAAACGACTGCAACCCCGCCGGACCTGATTGGCTAAGGCAGCTCGTAAGGCAGCGGGCATGGCTCGCTCGTCCACACCCAAATCGAATTGTAGTTGCAGCCTTTGTCTGCGCAGTTCTTGTCGCACAGAGTGTAGCCGAGCGCGGCGCAGCGTGACGATGCCTCCTGCCACGTGGTGTACTCGAAGGAGGAGCTCCACATCCCAGCGATACAGTCGTCGTTGCTTCTTGAGCTCTTACGTTTGCACGTCGAGCCGTCGCAGCACTGCGCAGCGATGGCGACGTTGAGGTGCCTGGTGGCGGTGGCGTCGTGGACGCACGCCTGAGTATTGGAGTTGCCGTCGAGGATCAAGACGCCTTGGGCAGGGAAAGGGGGCGCCGCCGGCGCCGGCGCGGGCGGGCATGGCTCGCTCGTCCACACCCAAATCGAATTGTAGTTGCAGCCTTTGTCTGCGCAGTTTTTGTCGCACAGAGTGTAGCCGAGCGCGGCGCAGCGTGACGATGCCTCCTGCCACGTGGTGTACTCGAAGGAGGAGCTCCACATCCCAGCGATACAGTCGTCGTTGCTGCTTGAGCTCTTACGTTTGCACGTCGAGCCGTCGCAGCACTGCGCAGCGATGGCGACGTTGAGGTGCCTGGTGGCGGTGGCGTCGTGGACGCACGCCTGAGTATTGGAGTTGCCGTCGAGGATCAAGACGCCTTGGGCAGGGAAAGGGGGCGCCGCCGGCGCCGGCGCGGGCGGGCATGGCTCGCTCGTCCACACCCAAATCGAATTGTAGTTGCAGCCTTTGTCTGCGCAGTTTTTGTCGCACAGAGTGTAGCCGAGCGCGGCGCAGCGTGACGATGCCTCCTGCCACGTGGTGTACTCGAAGGAGGA